AGATCATTTCTGCGGTTATAGTAAAATTAAATAATTGAGTTTGTGGCAGATGGAGTTCTTTTCCCCTAATGTCCCCTGTTCCTTTCTCTTCCACCCTGAAGCATGAGGTCTTTGGTGTAAGTCATTCTAGCAGAGGAGGGCAATGTTAGCAGGGAGATGTATTTGTTGGTAGGAGCTCTGCGGACCTGTGAGCTCATTCTGGGGAGGGACAGTAAGACCTACCAATTGTAGTCCAGGACCCATAACCCTACAGAGCGGGTCCCTGGGTAGAGAGGGCAAATAGGTAGAAAACCACCACGGGAAGTAGGATATGGAGAAGGGTTTTGTTTTACACTGCAGGTTTTATTATCATTCAGATAGGTGAGGCCAACAGATCAGAAGACTGCCTTTGAAAAGATAGCTCTTTACTCAGAGGGAAGGCAGGGGTGGTGGTGGGTGGGAAGAGATTAACTGGGGAGTTTATATGTATATATGCACAGCCCATAGACACAGATAATAGTGCGGTGAAGGGATGGGAGGGGCAGGTGTGGGGAGGAAGGGGTCAATGGGAAAATAAAAAAGAAAAGATGACATCTGTAATACTTTCAACAATAAAGATAAATAAAAAAGAAAAGAAAAGATAGCTCTTTACAGTTCCGAGGAGGGGGCACACTACACCACTGGGGGGCCGCACAGGGAAGCCCCAGGCTCAGTCAGGAGGATAAAACAATAATGCTTCACAAGGAGAATACCTTTTCCTTATTCTTTCCTGTCTTTGATAGGATTGTGATAACCATGTTGTGGCCATGAAGCAACGAGTGTGAACTTTTTGTTGTTAATCCTCACTCAAGGATATTTTTTCCATTGATTTTTTAAAAAAATATATTTTATTGGTTTTTGACAGAGAGGAAGGGAGAGGGATAGAGAGTAAGAAACATCGATGAGAGAGAAACATCGATCAGCTGCCTCCTGCACACCTCCTACTGGGCATGTGTCTGCAACCAAGGTACATGGCCTTGACCAGAATCGAACCTGGGACCTTTCAATCTGCAGGCCGACGCTCTATCCACTGAGCCAAACCGGTTAGGGCTCCATTGATTTTCTAAAATATATTTTTTATTGATTTCAGAGAGGAAGGGAGAGGGAGAGACAGAAACATCAATGATGAGAGAGAATCACTGATAGGCTGACTCCTGCACACCCACAACCTGGGCATGTGCCCTTGACCAGAGTCAAACCCAGGATCAGTCCACAGGCCAAGGCTCTATCCACGGAGCCAAACTGGCTAAGGCCCCAGGGAGTTTTGAAACAGGGGGCTGTGAGAAATGGGAGCCCTGGGCCTCCAGGCAGGTGTCCGTGGCTTCTGCCAGCATTGCTCCTTCCACTTAATGCCATTAAGAGAGTTGTTCCAATTCTTGTGGCAGCGCTTCCTTGGCTCTCTGCTGAGATCTGTTATTTGAGGACAGGTTTTGCCTTATTACTGTCACATTTTGAAGAGGAGGAAGTAATGACATGGGCACGGAGAGTACCCGGTAATCATAAAAGTACAATAAGAACAAGGACTCAGGGATTCCTGCTTGTCACAGTGTCTCCCTGAGCATTGCAGAGAGGGCCCTAGTAAATGTGACTATTAAATCAACGGCTTATGAAGCGGAACAATTCATCAGCTGTGAGACTCTGTTGTAGGAGTCGGGAGGTTCAGAAACTCGTGGGAGATTAGCCTTCTGAGCAGCAGAGCAGGTTAACACCCTCTCTTAAGCTCACTGGCACATCAAAGAAGCTTTTAATTTTTCTCTCCCCCAAATTAAAACAGTGCTACCTACATCTGGCTAAAGTTCGGACAGTACAGAAGGAAATACATTAATGTGGCAGTTTCCTGGTGGCCAATTTCTCTTCCCAGAGGCAACTACTGCAATGGTTTCTATGCTGCATAGTCTTCCCAGACGTTCTAGGCATATACAATCATATATGCACTGTTTGAAAAAAAAAGATTTATTAGCATTTATGTTGTGTCTGTAATGGATGTTGTTGATGCCCCTCCTAGATGGGGGACCCCTCCCTCTCCCTCTGCTGCTTCCAGCATTTGTGGCTAATGGCTCACAGCTGCCCCCTTTCTCCAAGGACCATAACCAAGCAGGAGCTCCTTTCCCCAGCTGGCTAAGCATCCCTACTCTCAGGCAGCCTGATTACTGATAACTGACTGATTACACATATAAGAGGTTGGCCCCTTGCCCCAAGGTTGAATAATCCAGTGGTGTCATTCACGCTCCAGAGCTTCCCAGAGATCAGGCTGAAGTTAATCTCCAGCTGACACCATAGCCTTACCTACTTTCTCTCTCCTGTCACGTATCCTGCTTCTGTCACTCCCTTTCTTTTGAAAGCATTTCCTCAAAAAATCCACCTAGACCAGGGTCCCTGCTTCAGCTGCTGCTTCTAGGAAGCCAACTGCAGAGATGGGATTCTGAAGGAAAATCGATTGATGGCCGGAGGGCCATGAGTATCATCACCCCATTGCTCCTGATGTGGGGGCAGATTACTCCTGGTGAACCAGGAAAGGATGCAGACCAAAGAGGATGCACTAGCTGGTGCAAACTCGCTGGGCTTGAGGGGTACGGGGGAAACTAGTATTTATAAGGATTGTGGAACTAGGTGACTGTGGCTAAGCAAGCACTGTGTGAGAGTCAGAAGGCAGCATTTAAAGAGAATCTTGTCTGCAGGCAGAGGGCAGCCAGAGCTGAAGATCAGACCTAGGGCTTCGCTGTAAGAGTGGAAGAACTTCAGAGAAGGCTGACCTCTCAGCTTCGGCCAGTGATGGCGAACCTATGACACACGTGTCAGAAGTGACATGCGAACTCATTTTTTTTTTGGTTGATTTTTCTTTGTTAAATGGCATTTAAATATATAAAATAAGTATCAAAAATATAAGTCTTTGTTTTACTATGGTTGCAAATATCAAACAATTTCTATATGTGACACGGCACCAGAGTTAAGTTAGGGTTTTTCAAAATGCTGGCACGCAGAGCTCAAAAGGTTTGCTATCACTGGCTTAGGCAAATCTCCAACACCAAAGTCATAGCCCAAAGAGGGAAGAATTAGAACTCAGAAGACAAGAGATAGCAACTGCTGGGGCTGTGAAGAAAAAGAACCCTCGTGCTCTGTTGGTTGGAATGTTTTTTTTGTGTGTGTGTGTGTGTGTGTGTGTGTGTGGTTTTTTTGTTTGTTTGTTTGTTTGTTTTGGTGTGAATGTTAATTGGTGCAGCCACTATGGGAAATAGTATTGCATTATTGGAGTAGCCAGTGGCAGAACTGAATTACATTGTAGGGGCACCCAGCTGGTGTCCATGGAGAACTGGAGAATTCCTTGGTGTGGAAAATCCACACATGTGGTGGGTGTCAGGAGTACTTGGGGTAAAAAAGAGCTAATACCCTTAGACCCCACGGTTTTCATCCTTTTCCTCAGATTCCACCACTTCACCCCAAGAAAGGCCACAGGCTAAGTGGTGAAATAAAGAACCGGGATGATTCATTCCAGTCAGTTAACTGGTATTCAACATCCACTATATTCAAATGTGTGGAGATGTTTTTTCCCAGTTGGCAGGTCTGATCAGTTACAGAGATGCAGAGATGAACTATTACATAATTCCTGATTTCAAAACCCATCTCCAGGGCCTTCAGGGGTTCCCTCCCCACCCCGTCTCTCACATCAAGAAACTTAAAAACGTGTAGGCATGGGGGAAAGAAAAGTTAGAGATCTTTTATTCTAGCAATCTCATTTTAAATATATACAAGTGTGGCTTGAAAAATAACAACAACAAAAAGAACAAAACACAAAAAAATGAAAAAAAAAGGAAATTTTTTAAAAAAAAAAATGTGGCTCCAGTTCACAGAGGTAGCTAACTGGTGTTTCCCTGTTAGAGTTTATCGTCCTTTCCTAACGCTATTTGAGCACGCCTTAAATATCTCAGTCTTTCTGAACACAGAGGGAGAGGTTATGAAGCTGGCCTAGGAAAGGGGCAATTTGGCGCCCAGAGAACTTGGGGATGTAACTTAGTCATACTGAAGCCATGCACCCCTAACCTAGGTATTCATTACTGTCACACCATAAATTTTGTGAGGGCAGGAACCGTGTACTTCCACCCCTTTCCCCTTGTTGACTGAAAACAAATAAAATTCACAAACATACCCGAATGACTGAGAGGCTGTGTGTGTGTGATGTGTGGCTATATTTCATTCTGTTTAAGGTTTTAATCAGTGAAAAGTTGTTGAAGGTCAGCAGGAGGAAGGCATTGTTTGGTTGTTTCCAGTCAAGGGCTCATACCTGGTTGCAGGCTGATCCCAAGCCTTGGTCGGGGCACGTGTGTGTGTGTGTGTGTGTGTGTGTGTGTGTGTGTGTGTGTGTGTGTGTGTGTTGGGGCGGGGGGGCGGGGGGGGAAGAGCAACCAATCCATGTCTCTCTCACATGGATGTTTCTGTCTCTCCTCTTCCATTCTCTCTAAAAAACATTGGAAAAATATCTTTGAGTGAGGATTAACAACAACAACAAAAGAGGTTTAACCGGTCCCCACTATTGCAGAGCTTTCTGTGCAACAGGTTAGGGACAGACCTGACCTGGTAGGGGAAAGGCTGCTGCGCAGAGGAGACGTCCCTGCTCTGGGAAGCACTGCACCTGCTGGGGTCTGCTGCTCCCTCTGCCTGGCCCCGCGACTCCGCCTTAGTAAATCGGCTTGTAAATTAAATTCCTCGGATTTGTTTTCCATCGGAAACTCTAGAAGCTGACGGGGCCGTCAGTCCGTTGGGGCAGTGCCCTGTGAGAGTTCCCATTGCAATTGTTTCTCTTCCCTACGTCCCTCGCTCCCTCGGTCCCTCCTCGCCCCGAGGCCAGGCGAGGAAAAGAGCGCGGGTCCTTTAAGGGAGCTCTCGCGGACCTGAGCCCGGGGTGCCCCCGCCGGGGAGCAGGGGCGGGGCGCCGGGGACCCGGCTTCCCACGCAGCCGGGGACGCCTCCGCGTCACGGCGCTCGCAGCCAATCAGAATAAAGCCTGTTGGGACGCCTTACTAGGGCGACGGTCTGGACGCCTCCGGCTTCGGGATGAATTAGCGGCGGGTTCGCCTGGAGGTTGTGACCCCCACGGATTCCCCAGCTCGCGCACGCGCCGCCTGCGGGGTCGCGCGTCCAGCTGGTCACAGGTGGGCGACGGGAACTGTCATGTGGGGGTTGTGGCGCGGGGAAAATGGCGGCGGCCGCTGGGGGATCCCTGAGGTGGTGAGGGGGAGCGGCCCTGCGGGCTCTTTCCCCGCTGAGGGCCGGCCTCTCGGGCTACGGCCCGGCTAACGGGCACCTACCTGACCGGGAATTGGGGTCTCGGAGCAGCAGGTAAGAGGAAGCGCGGGGAAGCGGTTCCCGGAGGCAGGAGGAGGTCTGGGGGGCCGCGCGAGTCGGGTCGCGAGGGCGCGGTGGCCGCCGGGATGTGGAGGGCTTGGTGACCTGTCGCTGATTAGGAGTGAACAGCAACACCTTCCTGCGCCCGACCTCGGACCTCGGCGGGCCTGGGAGCTGCCCGGCCCCGCACGCAGTCGGAGCTCTCCCGCCTTTCAATCCCAGGGGCAACGCGTCCAAGCGGCCGCCATGTGCGAGTCTCGGGCGTGAGCTGTCGAAGGAGGGTCTGGGGCTGCGCCGTCGGTGTATCTTCCAGGTGCCAGACACCTACCTACCTGTAGGTGCCCGAGTGGCAGGGACAGGAAAGGGAAGGTAGGCCTTCCTCAGGGGCCGATGTCCAGTCTGACCATGCAGGCATATATCCTGACTTACGCTTGCCCATTTGAGGAGAAGAAAGGTAAAGGGAGGGCACTCGGGTGTGGTTTTGGTGATGTTTTTGCAGCCTTGTCCCTGGTTCAGGCGGGTTCGTCCGGAGCATGGCATCTGCCCTCGAAGCTCATTAACTATGTAGTCCATGTGCACGTGACTGGAATGAAGGCTGAGGATTGGGATTCAGGGTAAGCCCAGGAAACGACTGAAAATACAGTATTGGTGAAGGTCTTAGGGAGGTGAAATATTGTCCAGCCATGTCATGAGATATCACTAAGTTGGGTTAGTTTTCAAACATCGAAAACTTGTCTTGATGGAAGTTCTTTTTGCAAAACTGTTCTGTTTTTTTTTTGTTTTTTTTTAGAGTAAGAGAAAATTACTCGTTTTAAATTCTTTTCCCCTTTTTCAGTTTCTCTAGCCTCGTTGTGCTCTGATGTGACAGGTATGCATGCTATTGAGGGACTTCTCTTTTCGGCAGCAGGCTTGGTTCTGCGAGTGCTGTGCGCTGTTACTGAGCAGGCGCAGTGGCACCGCGTGTTCCGGTCATCAGAAGCTGCGTGATGCCGGCTGCGTGTCAGACACGGTGACAGCGAGGCTTCTCCTACCTGATTTTCACCTGAGCAAATGGGGTAGGCCCCCTGTTCCCACCAGGTGTGTAGGCTGGCAAGAGTAAACCATGCCGAAAACCCACGAGAACCTTTCTTCCTAACGGGATCTGTGGAGGTTTGCTCACTTTGAGTTGGGGTGAGGTATGGTTTCCATATGGTTTCCAGTATGGTTTCCAGTATGGTTTCCTACTGTGCCACTTCCAATAGCTTAGGGACGGCATGGGCTCTCTGTCAGTACCTTACCTCTGAAAGGGGTATAGTATAGCATTTTTGTCCACATGATCTCATTGTACTGTTGTGAGTAAAAAACAACACCTCTACGTTAACAGTGGACACTTAGCACTACACTGTTACTCTGCCAGGCACTGTCCCAAGGGCCTTATATGAGCTAACTCAGTTTCCCAGGAACATTGTCAAGTGGCTGGTTTTGTCATCTTTGTTTTACAGATGAGAAAACTGAGGCACATTGAAAATTTAGGTTATTTGCCCCAAGTCGCACAACTAGCATTGCGATTCCAGCTTATGTTCTTAGCCACCATGCAGATATGTTACGTGTGATATATATGAACAAATTTTTCATTGACGTAATTTTGTTTGTGATCTTTTAGTTGTATAAATAATAACTGACTCATTCCATTGGCATCTAATAGTGATTTATATGGTGATGACTACAGTTACTTTAGTTAAGTGGCATATTCATTCTACCTTTGATATCCATTATTTTAAAAGGTATTTTGAAACAAAGAGCTGTGACTAATTTCTAACAGGAAGCACAAATCAATAAGGGATACTTTAGTTTTTATTAAACTCTTTAAAATAATTTGCTGGTGGCTTTTAAAGGAAAACTTTATTTTTTAAGTTTCTATTTATAGAAAAAAGATTACATGAATAAAAGAGGCAGGGACATTCTTTTTTTTTTTTTTTTTTTTTTTTTTTTTCTTCATTGAGTCTTTATGGAATTGCCCTGCCAAGTCCTTGGGATGTAAAGATTAAATCCTGACCTTATCCTTCAGGAGGCCAGGGAGAACCCCTGGGTCTAGAAGTTTGTAGACCAGTGAATGAGACAAATAAATGATTAGCTAATGCAGTATGATGTAGATGTGGTGGGTACAGAGGGCTGTGGGAACCCATTCAGGGAATATGTAGTTGCTTTTGCTGGGGTGGCACTGACCAGGAAAGGAAGGGAGCTGACTGCAGGATAAAGGAGAAAGGGCTTCTAGCCAAAGGAGGAAGCAATGCAGCCTCAGGGGGAGTAAGAGTGCTTGAATGTCTAGGGGTCAGACCAAAGTTTTGCAGGAGTTGCGGGGAGGGGAGCCAGGGAAGGTAGGGCCAACTTGTGAATTCTCAGCTAAGAGAGTGACTTTATCCTATGGGCAGCGGGACCTGTAGAAAGATCTTAATCAGATGAGTAACAGGATGACAGGGTGAAAGACAATGTAAGGAGGAGACCAGTGAAGGAGGATAGTTTCCTTACTCCAGACAAGAGATAGGGAGGGAGTGTATCAGGGCACTGGCTGTGTTCAGTGTCCACCACACACGTTTTGAATGGAAGATTGACTGGTGGAAAGAATAATGAGGTGGGGGAGGGGAAGACCTGCTGATAGTAAAGAGAAAAGTGAGGTTTTTTGTTGTTGTTTTCTCTATATGGTTAAAGATGGGAGATATTGTTAACTGATTTAGGAAAAAGGATGGAGCAGGCAGTTTTTTGTTACTGGGTTTTGGGAGTATTGTAGACCCTTTAAGGTTGTTGGATCAAATAATATGTAATAAATCCAGGCTTATAACTTCCTCTAAGTCTCTGATTTCTGAGATTACAGAAAACCTTAACTATATGGTAAAAAATCTGCAGTGTCTAGCATAAAGTTGGCTCCATTGGAGATGGGAGAAAAGCCACACAAAAGGAGTGGGAAGAATTATCTAAGTCATGTTGGGGTAAAATGCAAGAATAATGGGTATTTGAGTGTTTTCCTTTTTTTTTACATTGTTTTTATTATATTTATGCAGAAGTTGTTATAATATGGAACTAATCATAAATGAATTCTCTAGTTCTAAAGCTAATCTCCACTGTAACATTCATAACACTAGAGTTGTCTAGCACCCAACAACATGCATTCCAAATCGACTGCCAGGTGAAATTGCAAATCTTGCAAAGATGCAGGATTTTTATTAATTCAGAGCAAGGTTGAAAACTGCTCAGAACATAAGCACTATATGATTTCATTTAGTTGAAGTTCAAAAACAGGTACAACTATTTCCTGGTAGTAGATGTAGTCAGAATAGTGGTTCCTTTGGGTGGTGGTGGTGGTAATGACTAGCTAGGAAGGGACATCTCCTTCTGAGTAGTTGGAAATGTTTTATATCTTGAGATGAATGGAGGTTACAGGGATGTATGTACATGTGAGAATTCAAGTTGCAAATCTAAGATTTGTGTACTTTACTGTAATAGTTTAATTTAAAAAGAGGCACTAGTCTAGTGAGAATTTGGCAGTGTTAGACCAGTTAACTTTTTATGAAGAAAACCAGCAGGGTAATGATGAGAGAGGTGTTTAATTTTTTTTTTTTTAAGGTGTATCAGAGGCTCTGGAGGAATAAATGATGAAATGTATCTAGTTTTTTTTTTTTTTAAAAAATGACTTATTTTTCTATTTTTAAAACTTTTTTTATAAAAGCAGAGTCTACTAAATTGTTAAGAGTAAAAGTGACTTTTATATAATTGTTTTGCAAAGGGCAAATGTGAAATCAAGGTTGTCATGTTGTGCTGTTTTACAACTTTTCACAAAATTATGTCCCAAACTCTACCACTTGATTAGTTTTTTGTCTTAAGAATTAGTGCATAGTTGCAAGTGTAACCTACACTTTGTTAAATATAAGATACATTATGAAAGTAAATTTACATTTTGCTTTTCTTTTTGGGAAAACTCTAATCAAATCTCTTTCTCATCATTACAAAATGTGGTCCATGTTTAGGAGAAATTACTGTGTGGACTTAACCCTACTGTGCTGATTGCTCTTGGATAATGAGGACTGAAATTAATTCCTTTGGCTGCAGGATTTTGAATGTCACAGTAGAGCTAAGAACAGCCTTTGGTGAGCTCCTGGTGGCAGTGAGGTAAAGCTCAAAGGAGGCCTTTGTGGGCCTCAGTCTGATTTGACAAAGTGATCATTGTGCCTCTGTACCTGTCCTCTCCATCTGGCAGAGGGCCATGGCGATACTCCTGTGATAACTGGGAGGCAGATGGAAGGACTTCTGAGGAGCAGCCATCAGTGAAAGCTGTCTGGAGATGATTAACCAGCAGTCTTTCACAGTTCAGGTTTCTGAAAAGATAAATTGTTCACTTTCCCAGAGGAAGTAAATTACTGTTCTAAGGATGATAAAGGAAGATTTAGGCTATGCTTAGTTTTCCATCTCAAATAGAAGATCCACCTCCATTTTATGTTTATTAGCGTATAGTTTATCCCCTTGGGAAAACTTGAGGAGCAGGGAGATAGCATGTTGGTGAGCTGGTATCCAGTGATGTCACAAAGCAAATGATGGATAAAAGATAGGAATAAGGGAATGATGAGGGAAGAGAAGTGAGTGGGGGCACCCATTCTTAGGGCTCTCTGTGGCTAGAGTGAAAGTATTGTGTTTAACCCTTATAGTGACTCTTCCTCCACAGGAATATTTAGGTGTCTTGGGGAAGGTAGCTTTGTCTGTGACTTACTGTTTCTGCTCTCCTGTTGTAGTACAAGCACTTTCTTAGAAGTATTATTTTTAAAATACTTTTCCCGATAATAGGGGCAGTGCATTATGCATTTTGTCTTGTATCAATAAGTGTAATAATATTAGTTCTAGGTTTTTTTGTAGATATTCCTTAGCTAATTGAAAAAGTTCCCCTTTATTTCCTTTTTTTATTTTCTTGAGAGTTTTTCTCAGGAACAGGTATTGAATTTTACCAAATAGTTTTTCTGTATAGATTCATATGATCATATAATGTAATCTTTTCAGTTTGTTAATATTGTGGATTACATTAATTGATTCTTGAATATTGAACTAAACTTCTATCCGTGGATTAAATTCAGCTTTTTATATATTGCTGAATTCTATTTGCTAACATGCTAAGGAGTTTGGAGTCTATATTCATGTATTGGTCTGTAATTTTTTTTTTTTTTGTGCTGTCCTTTTCTTGGTTTTTCATCAGGATAATACTAGCTTCATAAAGTGAATCGAGAAGTACTCTTTATTCTTATGTTTTCTGGAAGAGATTGTATTAATTCTTCTTTAAACATTTGGTAGAATTCTCTAATGAAACAATGTGGGCCAGGAGATTTCTTTTTTTTTTTTTTTTTTTTTTGGCTCTTTTCAGTTTATTGCATGAAGGAGTTACACTAGTCCAAGTTAAAAGCAGACCCCAAATTGTTACATTATACAAGCTGTGAGGTTTTTAAACTTGTGACAAGGGACAGGAGGGAAATTGTACTCATTGCAAAGAAATCCTCACTTAAGCTTCTGTGAGCCAAAAGCACTTAAAACCCATGAACCTTCAGCTGGTCGTCCTTAGCCAGTCCAGTCTCCACGAGGAACTGGCATATGTTCTTGCGCTGGTCACCCTGCAGCTGAATTACTTCTCCATATTCTGGATGCTCAATTACAATACCATTGCAGGCAAATTTCTTCTTAAAGGCCTTCACTAGTTTCTTTTTATCGTAATCATCAGCGATCCCTTGGACAGTAGTAAGGGTCTTCCTGCCATTTCTCTGTTGAATTCTTATATGGATATAATCCTCAGTGACAGCGGGAAGCAGGTCATCACCCTTACTTGCATCAGCAAAGGGGTCGAAAGAGTGGAGGTTCTGGATAGCGGACATACCATACGATGCTGGGGTCCAACCCCAGCGGGTCCAGGGGTCCCCAAAGGCGTGGACGGAGTCGGCGAAGAAGGAATGACACAGAGACAGCGTTCAGTTGATCAGCAGCCTAGCCAGGATCTCTAGCCAGGATCTCCAGCCAAGTTCTGGTCTGGATCTCCAACGAAGTTCTGCTTAGGATCTCCTGCCAGGGTCTGTGTCCATGTTCTCTTGCTAGGTTCTCCAGGTTCTCCAGCCAGGTTCTGTAGCCATGTTCCCTTGCTAGGTCCTCCAGCCAGGTTCTGTCCAGGTTCTCCAGCCAGGTTCAGTCACTAGGTTCTAGTCAGGTTCTCTTGCCAGTTTCTGTAGTCAGGTTCAGTCTAGGATCTTTTGCCATGTTCTCTCGCTAGGTTCTGTCTCTAGGTTCTGAGGCCAGTTTCTGTCCAGGATCTTTTGCCATGTTCTCTCCAGCGAAGTTCTTCTGTCTCTAGAGAACGTTCTGTGTAGGTTCTGTGCCTAGGTTCTGTCTCTCTTGGTTCTGTCTTGTTACATCTGTATTTATACCAGTTGATTCCAATCCTATCAATCTCTATTTCAAAGGCGTTTCTTATCTCCATTCCAGGGAGTAAAGATTATGTAGCTTAAGCATGATTGTTCGTAGTTAAAGTGATTAATTACCCACCTGGCACTTAGTTAAGAGGTTTTATTCCCTCCCTAACTTCAGGGGAAAATCCCTACCTGGGGAAACAACCTTTCTCAGAGGTGACCTTGGTTAAAACACATAGTGCCAAGAAGGTGAGCAAACATATTAAGAACAATATGCCATATATGCCAGGTCCCTTGAAACAGCAAGGATGGACTGGCTCCCGGCAATACGATTCCTTTTCCTGGAAACGGCCTGCGGAAGGCTGCGGCGGGAGAAGGCGGGCAGGGGGGACCGAGCATCGGGAAGCGAGGGGGGCTCAAAGGGGAGGTTGCTGAGTCCTTGGCGGCGGCTCAGTCACTGGGGTGAGATTTCTTTTCTAGGAAACTTTTAATTACGAATTCAGTTTCCTTACTAGTTACAAGTTTATTCAGATTATCTATTTCCATTTTGAGTAAGTTGTGAGCTTTCAAGGAATTGGTCCATTGATACACAGAGTGGGACTCCTCATGGCTGCGAGGCAGGGGTAGAAGTTTCAGTTTCTTTCTAGTCCTCCTCTGATGCTGCCTTGCTTCCGTACTGTTCTTCACGTGGTCTCCACTGACACCCTTGGGAAGAGTGAAAATCCTGACTGTACTGGACCTGTCTCATACCATCTCCATGGGGATAAGAAGAGATGCTTCATTACTGTAGTGGGAGTAAAGTTCAGGCTCTCTGGGCGTCTCCATAGATAGGGTGACAGGGGAAGTGGGTCTTACTACTTAGCACCTGGCAGGGAAGAAAGTCTGGCCTTTGGTATTACCCCTGCAGGGATAGGGGGTTGGGGTGGGTCATGCCAAGGCACAACATTACAGCCTGGTGAGAGTGAAAGTTTAGGTTCCCTCCTTGGCATTTGTTGTCATGGGTCAGGTGGGTCAGTTTTTTCTGTAGAAGTGTGTGCTGTGCTTTTTTGATTTTTTTTTTCTGAAGTGCAGTGGTTATTGTATAAAAGTTATCTGTTTTGCTATGCTGTTCTTGGTCCTTTGGAAAAACAGGGACTTTTTTGTTGTTGTCCCCCTTTAGCATTTCTGGATTATTGGCTTCTTCAGCTCTGTCCATGTGATATATGATACAAAAGGAAAATCCAGGGTACTCAACATTGTGTTGTTCCAGGAGTCCCAAGGTCCCTAGCTAGTTCACCTTCTCTCCACCTTCACAGTCTTCTTAGGGAAAAATACATTTACTTGATTTTACTGGAGGTGTAAATTATATTGGGATTACTTTTGCTGACTAAACAAAAAGTCAGCCAGCTATTTCTTCGGAAAAATTGACTTATTCAGGAACAACAAAGAATTGCAGTCTGGAACATGCAACCATGGTGGGCCATGTGCAAGTCTGCTAAAATAAAGTAGAGGAAACTCTTATAGAGGGGAAGAGGACGTTGGGAAGGCTGCTACAAAGAGTTCTTCCTATTGTGCTTTACCATGACATAGGATGCGAGAGCTCCCACTTAATGGCCTCCCTACTTCATTTTAAAAGAGGGTTCTGTTCAGTAACTTTTTATGCTTCCTTACGGAAGAAAACAGAGTGGAAATTAAGACACTTAATGAAGTTAATTTTTGGGTCAGTTACTTGGAAGTGACAATTTAACTGTCGTTACCAGAGAGTAATTCTGAGGGTCACTGTTCAGTAAAACCAAACACTTATTAGTTTTAGATCTCTTAGGAAGCTTGACCATCTAATGAATTAATTTATTTCTGCATTTATTTATAAATTCATAGTAAGCCTAAATTTCTGGCTTAGTCTGGGGTAGAGAAAAATTTATCTTAATGAAAGATTGGTTTTATAGAGGGGACTAACTCAGTTTTTCTAGTGGTTGTTAGAGATCTTGAAGCTGTGCATTATTTTCTAAACAAAGAAATAGGCATGTGCGTAGTGATTAAGAGCTATGTAAGGAGAATTGTGGAAATCTTTGAAATGTACCAGAAGGATTACTGGGTGTCTTCTATGGAAATGAGTTGATATCTCGAGCACTTTTCCTGGAGATCTATTCTATAGTGTCTGCAGCTTTTACTGTTTTTTTAATTTATCTTACAACTTTATAAGTTGTGAATAACTGACAGCAATGCAAATAATCCTTGTCCTTAGACATGCAAATGAAATTTGTAGGTTGGAGGTACAATTGATTTCTTTTCCTCTTCTGTGGATGAAGCCCTTTTTAGATCTATTAAGCAAACTCATCCTCATTCCCCATTGCTTCTATGTTTGTGCTCTTTGCTTTCGCTTTTGAATGAGATGGCACATCTTATTTGTTTTGTAATTAATTAATGAATTAAGTAAAATCATAGATGGGTGTTCATTTATATCTATTTAATTAATTTATTTATTTCTCTTTTTTTATTCTTTTTTTTTCAGTTATATTTATATGGGAGACACAGTGTTACCCTTTTGTTTGTTTGTTTAAATTATCTTTTATCTTGAACTCTGAACTTAGCCTAATGAGCTTGCGTAGCATTTACTGTCATTGTGACTTGGACACGGGAATTTTATTTTTTAACCTAAGTCAGTTTACCCACTATAAAAAGAGGTCACAGCGCTGTTTTTCTGCTGTGGTGGTTGTGAGGATTAAAAGAGATGTTGCAAGTAAAACACTTCTCACAGTACCTCATACATCTTAAGAACTCTGTTTTTTTTTTATTATTAGAAAGCTGTGAGCACCTAATTTTATCTTCCTGAGACTTAATATCTTAATCTGTAAAAAAATAAAAAAAAATGAGGGGACTTTTTAGTTGGTTGTTAGGTTGTAAAATGTTCCTGGCACTAACTGGAAAGAATGGAAGAATGTAACTGACAATAGTTATTTTTGGAAAGAAGAACATTTTTAACATGCAAGTGACCTTGCTGCTCAGAGTAAGGGAAATGTAGAGTTTGATCTGGTAGGAAAAGTAGGGTTTGATCTGGTGAGCAGTTAGTTCAGAACAGCAGCCTGCTAATTCAGCTCAGTAAACATTGATTGAGAAGATCCTATTCTGCCTGCCTTTGTACTAGGAAGAAACATTAGGACTGGAAATGTGGCTCAGCAGGGTAACAGAATTACCTTTTTGCCTTAAAAAATTTGGAGGGTGGATCCTGATAGATGGAAGGCTTTAGAGCTGAGCATCTTGATAGTTGTGGGCATGCTCACCAGGGAGTAGGAACTGGAAAGGGCTGAATTTTGCTTAACCTAGGGTTGACCATTTGGATTTTCAAAGACAATTTCAGGGTGAGTAGGGATGTGTGATAATTGAAGAAGAGAGAGGAGCAGGAAAAATGGCTCAAGGATATATCTGTTTAAATTGAACAGTCCCTCTGACCCTTAGTATTTACAAATGTTTTTACTTAAGGATTTTTTGGAGGGTTTGAGGGTGAGAGTGGACAGGAGCAGGGTAGAATTGGTGAATTGGTTGAGTCAGTTACCTTCTTCTCTCCTTAGAGGCTGAGAGAAGTTCCTCAGAAATTAGCAGTGATCTGGGGAAGATCTGAGCCTTCTGTGGGTTATGTAATTGGAACAAGTTAGGGAATGGTTCAAGGGCATCCTCGGCTACTATTAGTTTAGGACAGTGGTGGGCAAACTGCAGCTCGCGAGCCACATGCGGCTCTTTGGCCCCTTGAGTGTGGCTCTTCCACAAAATACCACATGCGGACGCGCATGTACAGTGCGATTGAAACTTCATGGCCCATGCGCAGAAGTCGGTATTTTGTGGAAGAGCCACACTAAAGGGGCCAAAGAGCTGCATGTGGCTCGCGAGCCGCAGTTTGCCGACCACTGGTTTAGGATAATGAAAATAAGCCTCAGTGGAAGATGTCTATCTTGTGAACAACAAGGAGTTTACACATAGGTAGATACCTATAGTTATAACTGGTTTATACATTCATTTTGATATAACTAAATTAAATACTATAAACAAAAGCAGCAGTTTGCCTAATACAAACATTTTTTAAAGGTTTATGCAAAATAAAATGGTCCTTGTAATTTGTCTTTAGAATCAGAGTAAATTAGTAGATGCATGCCTGCTTTCTTTGAGTTCCTATAGCTATCTTTGGAACTTGAATACTCCAAGTGTTATGTAGTGTGGGGAGGGGAGCTGCCCCTTACTCTATTTCTTCTGGAGATTGGAATCTAGGCTCAGATTTTGTCCTCCCTGTCCATATTCTAGCTAGGGGTATTGCTATTAGGGAAAAGCTGAAGCTTCAAGGGCCTGGCCAGTTTTAACATTGCTGTCTCCTGCTCTCCCTAGACTGGGAAGGGGAATGAGGAGGATGGATGGGTGGATGGGACATATCTTGGGCTCTAGCTTTACTCTTCCGGCATTCCCATATTAAGTATTGTGACCATTACCATCCTCCTGGATTCCTGAGTTAATAAGCCTGTTAATTAATCCAGTTAGTACTTGAATGTCTCAGTTCCATGGCCCATGATAGCCTTTTTATACTGTGAATCATCTTACTAGCCCGGTATGCTGTTCCAAACTCCATTTTCCCTTCTCCCATTTGTCATCTTCACTGGCTGAAAGACAGAGTTGGGACTCTTTCTGAGAAGCTAGCAACAAAAGGATGAGATGATGTGTGCAGTGTGGGGAAAATAAATTGTGATGCTTCTGAACTATGGACCATTAACAAGGCAGTTTCTAGTTATTGAATGTACTTTCTAAAAGCTTTGAGTAAGTCTTTGTAATGGTTTCTATGTCTAGTGTGTTCATCCTGCTTCATGAATCTGAACAGGAAGCTTCTGTGAATAGATCATTCACATTTCTGTTTATATTGCTGTTGTTGAAGTGTTCTATAGTTGTTTCATAAACATTTCTTTGAAAAATAAACATTTCTATTAGAGAGATACATTGTAAGTTTCCTGTTGATAGAAAATAAAATGGTACATTTTGGTCAGAGAACAAAACCTGGCATTTGTTTCGAATTTGGTCATGTGATTCTTTTTGAATCTTCATGTTAAAAATGAGGTACCATTTTGTTTAAAGTCCAATGTTCTAGAGTTCAGCCCTTACTTTTGATGTTGTGTACAATACCTTGTTTTTATTTAACTCAGATAGATGCTTATGTGAGATCATTAGCTGGTGTCCTTTGAGTAGTGAAGGCTTTAGGGGTAAGTGGGGTATCTTAACTACGTGGATAACTCGGACAACTAATTCTGGCCATGTGCTCTCCTATCTCTAGATTCATATCTGTCCTGTGTCTGTTTGAAATCCCTGGTCATTACCTTTGGTCTCAACTGGGCTAGCATTAAATTCATTCTCAATTCCAGCTTAATTTTCCACCTGGATATATCTGCTTTTGTCTATTTATTCATCTAGACTTGAACCTTCATACTCAATTTGTTCTATTGCTTCTTTTGTGATGCTTTTGATGTTTTTCTCTACTTCTCATCTTTATGCTTGTGTTATTTTTATAGCCTACTATTTGTTTTCTAAAATAACAACTTCCATTTATTGTGTATGTGATATAATAAAAAATATATCTGGTCATTAACCCTGGATTCAATCACAGAGCTTCAAAAACCCTTGGAATTTCCCAAGTGGTAGGAGTATCTTTTGTTCTTCATAATAAACCATACCTGAGTTTATGCTACTGAAGTGACTAAGGGTGGTCTCTACAATAGTTTCCAGGGTAGGGGCTAGTCACACCAGAAAGACTTAGCTCTTCATTAGAGGGTTGGAGATTTTATTAAATTAATTAATTTTTTTATTTAAAAAAATAAAAAATCTTTATTATTGAAAGTTTTACATATGTCCTCCTTTCCCCCCCATTGACTTCTTCTAGTGCATCCCAATCTCCCATCCCAGGCCTTCACCACCCCATTGTCTGTGTCCATGGGTTATGCATATATGCATACAAGTTCTTTGGTGGATCTCCTCCTACCCACCCACCCCCACTTTCCCTCTGAGGTTACCCCCTTATCTCTGGGCTGAGAGAGGGATTAGAGTTTGGTCATGTAGCCAGTGATTTAATTAATCATGCCTATGCAGTGAAGCTCTGTATATAAACTCTGGGACAATGGAGTTTCTGGTTAATCAACCCATTGATCTGCTGGGAGGGTGACATCTGAATTTGTCCTCCTAGACCTTGCCCTTCACATCTTCCATTTGGCTGTTCCTGAGTCTTATCCTTTATAATAAAACTATAATCGTTTACGTATAGTGTTTTCAATGAGCTCTGTCTATTCTAGTAAATTACTGCACTTGTAGGAGGGTTGTGGGAGCCCCAAATTGTAGCCAAGTTGGATAGAAATTCTGTTAGCTTGTGGATATCAGAAGCAACGATAGCCTTGTAGGGTACTTTGCCCTTTAACTTGTGGGATCTGATGCTAATCCAGGTAATGACTGTCAGAATTGAATTGTAGGATACCCATTTCAGATGCACTGTGCTTACCCTTTGTCAGGCATTGTGGTATGGTTTTTGTTGTTGTTGTTAATCCTCACTCGAGGACATGCTTAGAGATGTGCTGATTAATTATGAGAAATTAGCTCACATGATTATGAAGTTTGAGACGTCTCATGATCTGCTGTCTGCAAGATTGAGAGTCAGGAAAGCCAGTGGTGTAATTCAGTCTGAGTCTCAAAGCCTGAGAACTAGCGATGCCAATGGTGTGAATAAATCCCAGTCCAAGGGCCAGAGAAGATGAGATGTCCCACCCATGCAGCTCAGTGAGGTGGGAAGAAGTGGGTGAATTCTCCATCCTCTGCCTTTTGGTCTATTCAGGTCCTCAATAGATTGCATCATGCCACCACACTGGAGAGGGTAATATGTTTTTCTAAATTCATCAATTCAGATGCTAATCTAGTGCTGAAATACCCTCACAGACACACCTAGAAATTATGTTTAATCTGGGTACTCAATGGTCAGTCAAATTGACACATAAATTAGCCACTACAGTGTGCCTCTTAGTAGTAAAAGGAATTGAAATTATTCTGATCCTTTTCATTTTAGTTAGTGTCTTTGGGATAAAAGAGCAGGTATGTGGAGAAGAACATGGTGGACTTAGAAGCCACCCACGTCTCCTCATTTGGATCACTTACATCTGGAACATTTTCTTTGATTTTGTTGTCAATATGTTTCTTATCTCTTCCTTTATAATTCTCCCTAATTATATTCTTGATAATTTGTGAAACTAAATACTTTTGTCTTTATTTCTCCTGAAGTGACATGAAAATATACTTACTTTTATGGATGGACTAGAGGCCCAGTGCACAAAATTTGTGCATGGGTAGGGCCCCTAGGCCTGGCCAGTGATCAGGGCCGATTGGGGCCTTCTGGCTGTTGGCTGGGGCCTCCCTTCCCTGGCTCCAGGCTGCTGGCTGGGGCCTTCCTTCGTTCTGTGCTGCTCCTGGTGGTCAGTGCATGTCATAGCGAGCAATCCGTCTTCCCGGTCGAACTCCCGTGGGGACAATTTGCATATTAGCCTTTCATAGATAGATAGATAGATAGATAGATAGATAGATAGATAGATAGATAGATAGATAGATGAACGTAGACACATTCAAAGTGATGGCAAAATTTGGAAACCTTTCAGAGAGCAGACTACCAAACTTATGTTTTTGTCTTCTCACATGCGTTCTGCTTTTGGATTGCCCCTTGCCCTCAGTTGTTTTAACTTTTTAAAAGGGATCATTAAGTGGATAATGGAGACGAATGGGCAGCAGCTTGTTGTGGTTGCTGTTCCTTGGCTTCACCATTATCCACAGTCTGCATTTGGCCTTCCAGGTTCTGAAATCTAATTTCCTTGCTTCATCCAGTGCTCATGACTTCATTCATGGAAGGAAATTCAGAAGGGATTGATATTTACAAAAGCCAGAGGTCTGTATAATAATTTATATGGAGAGATCGATCTTTCTGGTTAAATTCATATTCACTGTTTAGAGTATCTTTCTGTGTTAATAATCTAACAATATCTTACTGAACAAAGTCATTCCAATAGTAAGAAAGTTGACTAGTATGTTAAGCGATGATAAAATGGCATACAGATAAACATGTTTTAAGGATTTTATTTAATTGATAATCAGTGAAGGAATCAGGCAAGTGGTATAATTGGTTCAAAGGAAAAGTAAAAAAATAAAATAAATAAAACACCCACAAATTTATATGAAATAAAGGAACGTTGAACTGGATTGCAAATGGAGACAAAAGTGGTTTGTGGGAGGAAGGAAGCCAGGTAGCAGTGAGGGAAGTCAGTAGAAACCTCTATCTGACAGGATAGAATCTGCATATCTCTGTTACCTACAACTTAGTCACGCAATCTCAGAAAGAATCGGAATGCGATATGGTGGAAGGGTGTGCTATAAACAGTGCCAGGTTTTTCATGTTTTTCCTGTATATGTGACTATGAATTACAAGTGGGAGTTAGAGGATATTTGAGAACAGTTCTGCTGGACACTCTTGGAGCCTGATGAACGTTTACAGTTTATCATCACTTTGTAAATGAATACAGACATTTTAAAATAATTCGGTTTTTATTTAAATAATTGGTTATACACAGATTCAGGTTTGAATTTTTTATAGAAGTTGATAATTTTCTTTTTGCCACTGGTATTTTTATGAAAAGCTGTTGGTGACTTGGAGTATGTCACAAGGTTTTATATGCTCTGATTTTGTAAAGATATAATAAAGTTGCTTAAAATTATTGGGATGACTTATTGTGCAGTTGGAAAGAACCCAAGCTTTCTGATAATCTGAATCACTTACCTTATACATAAGAACGTGTAAGTATTATGATTTTATAACCTAACCTACTTTTAATTCTTTCTGAATATTTTAATGTATGTTTAAACAAAATAATTTTTTAGTTAACATGCATGCTTTATACATCTGGATGCAGTATTTCTCTGTTAGCTGGAATACATGTTAAGTGATGCTTTCCTTTTTATGATTCTTTCTGATAGATGATTTCTCCTAATATTGTGATGCCCTCTAGTGAGTTCAGCTTTGCAGATAAGAAGTTTGTGAGAGGCAGTAATCCATACAATAAAATCTTTAAAAAGAACATTCTAGTAATTAGAACTTTTCCTATATGTGTTGTGAGATGGCAAGTTTCTGTCTCTGGAAATGTTTAGGCATAGATTTAATAATCTCTCATGAGTTTTATTATTGTTGAATTAAGTGTAATTAATGTTCCAGAGACCTTTAAAATCTTCTTCAGCTTTTAAGGTTCTGGATTTATATGAGCCATTAATCATCAAGGTTTGTGAAGGTTTCAAAGGTAGTGTTAAGTCATGGATGTGACTTCAAGTAACTTATTTGCATCAGTTTGGAGAAAACAACAGTAGCTAGCCTTTATCGAACATTTATTCGGTTTCTGTAGCTGCTCAAAACATTTTACCTTTATGTCATTTAATCCTCACAATAATTATGAGGTAGTACTATCTTTATAGTTCCACTAGAGGCCCGGTGCACGAAAATTGTGCACAGGGCGGGGGGGAGGGGGAAGTTCTCTCGTCCCGGCCTGCGCCCTCTCGCAGTCCGGGAGCCCTCAGGGATGTCTGACTGCCGTGGAGGTGGGAGAGGCTCCCGCCACCACCGCTGCACTCACCAGCCTTGGGCCCAGCTTCTGGCTGAGCGGCGCCCCCTGGTGGTCAGTGTGTGCCACAGCGACCAGTCTTTCTGCCGTTCAGTCGATTTGCATATTAGCCTTTTATTACATAGGATAGGATGTTACTAGCAATTGAGACCCAGAGAGGTTATATAATTTGCAAAAAGTCAGTAAGTCATGGAACCACGACCAGCTTATATCAAGCAATAGTGGGTAGGCTAAGGTCATTTTTAATTGTTTACAGGTTGGCAGTTCTCTGATGGGTTATTTAGTTTCAAGGTAATTACTTTTGGCTACATTATTTTTACATTGCTGCACTTAAGTGTATGGTTTCTCTTGAGTTTCAATAACAGATGTAGTAGTTTAATAATTTGTACCTAAATCCTATATAATAAAAGCCTAATATGCTAAGTGTCTGATTGTCCAGTCATCTGTTCAACCAATCAAAGCGTAATATGTTAATGATATGCTAAGGATGTTCAACCACTCCCTATGACGTGCACTGACTACCAGGGGGCAGTTGCTCTGACCGGTAGATTAGCTTGCTGCTGGGGTCTGGCCCGATTGGGACTGAGCGAGATGGGTCAGACACGCCCTGGAACCCTACTGCATTTCCTCCCCGGTTGGCCAACCTCCTGCACCCCTCCCCAGCCCCGATCGTGCATCGGTGGAGTCCCTCGGCCTGGCCTGCACCCTCTCACAATCTGGGACCCCTCGGGGGATGTCAGAGAGCCGGTTTCGGCCTGATCCCGCAGGACAGGCTAAGGGACCCCACTGGTGCACGAATTCGTGCACTGGGCCTCTAGTGTTTATATAAGATTTTTGGCCCATGAGATGCTTACTTTAAAGACTTATTTGACAGATAGAATGAGACAGCCTTACTTTTCTAGTTTATTTTCTATAAAACATCCATTCTTTAAGATTTAGAGAACTTACTGCTCATTTCTGTGTTAAAGAATTCTCTTGAGGGCTTTATGGCTTAGGTTTCTTTTGGCTTTCAGAGTCATTTACCATCTTAATTGGATTTTAAGATTAGTATAGCTCTTTTCCTTTTGGTTTTCATCACCGGTAGAAACAGATTTCTCCATTTGTTGGTAAGTTAAGTTCATCAGATCAGGAGCTGGCTTTTTGATACCCTGGAATCTCCCTATTTGTGGTGTACTCAGGTCAGTGTTGGTTGTACAGAGATAATAAAGGATACATTTGCAGTCCAATTATTAGAAAGCTAAACTATAAGCACAAAGGAATGCTATATTGTGAAATATAAGGTAGTTTCTTTTTTCATTTCTGGATACTTGTCTGGTGTTAGTTTATGAAACGATTTCTTTGTAAAAAGCATTTTTATATAGTTCCTAACTTGCATATAGTAAGTTACATATTACTGGTGACCACATTAGTGGTTACCATTGAGGGTAGTTAATTGGTAGGCAGCATGAATAAAGGAGACTTCTGGGTTGCAGGTAATGTTCTGCTCTGATCTGGGTGTACTCACTTTGTAAAAATTCATCAAGCTATACACTTAGGATTTGTATACTTTACTCTGTCCTCTAGTTTTAAAAAGGCTGAAAGTGGCATGTTCTCCTTCCTGGGAGTATGCCTTTTCCTTCTCCCTTTTAGTCCCCTACAGGCGTGCACCTCCTAAACTCTAAGGGACCCCACAAAATTTGCAGCTAGGGGAGCAATGGGCAGTGGCAGCTCGTCCAGGACTAATTCCTGAACTTGTCCCCAAGGCTCCCTTTCTCTGACTCTCCATTGAGCTGACAGCAACCTCTTCCAGGCTCACTTCTTTCCCACAACGTTTCCAAAGAGCCAAAGCAGCTCCGCCTAAGCTCTCTCCTGTTGCTTCTTCTATCCTAGGCCCGTCCTTGTTTCACTGTCCCCAGCTTAAATAAATGTACTCTCAAAATAAAAAAATATATGTAAAAAATAAAAAGACTGAAAGTATGCACCAAAACAAAATACAAAATAGAAAAAGTAAAAGAAACAAGGACTGACTGGATTGGGAGCCAGGAGAACTGGGTTCAAGCCTCAACTATACCACTAAAGACTGTTATTTTAGGCAATTCATTGACCTCTGTGAACCTTAATGATTGTATCTTTAAAATTGAAATAATGCCTACCTAATGTATTTCAATTGCAGTAAATATTTGAAAACACACTGGAGACTAGGAAATGCTCTTGGAAGCAGTATTTTTGTTAATACTTTTACATTTGTAGTATTGTTACTCTCACATAAAATGGACCCCATATATATTTAAAAGTAGTAAAAGGACCAATAGTTGAAAGACATTTTGATAAACTGAAGCAGTTTTGTTCATACCTGGTGTTGAATTCCTAAAAAAATATAAAATAGTAGAGCAATTTAGTTGACTTTCCTTCTTTTTAACACATTTTGTACCGCTCAGGAGTTTTCTCGTGTTTCGTGAGCCATCTGTTAAGGACCGCTCACGAGTGTTCTCGTTTTTCACGCCCATGGAAAAAGGAGCGAATCTAGATACTTATGTAAATTTTGTTTGGTCTCTCTTCATAGAGGAAAATGTTTTACGCAGTACCATACGTTAAAAAAGTACTAGGAGAAAAAACAAACAAACAAACAAAAAAAACAAAAACAAAACAAAACAAAACAAACAAACAAAAGTACTAGGAACTTTAATTGTTTAATTGTTTTTGTAAATAAAAATTTTATAATTATTGAAAAACAACACCTAAAGTGCATTATGATGATTTAAATAACGTGCAATTTGCCCAAAAACGTGCGGTCCCTGGCGTATGTCTTAGAGATTTCTATGCGGTACGCAATGTGTTAATACTAAGCCATTCAACAAGTAGTAGTCGAGTTCTTTCCAAGTATGCTGGGTCTGATGTTGAAGCTATAATAGTGAACAATATCAACATGGTCCTCACAACTGTGGAGCTGTAGAACTAAAATTCTAGAGGGAATGACAGGCCAAAAAACAGAAAACAGACAAACGAGTAAAACAACAAGTTGTAATGAGAGCCATAAAGGAAGTAATAAGTCAGGCAGAGAGAAACTACAAGGGGAACTTGCTTCCAGTAGTTGGTCAGTCTTAGTGAAAGCTGACATCTGAAAGGAAGCTAAACTATAAGCAAAAAGGAATGCTATATTGTGAAATATAAGGAAGAAAGGAGGGTAGTAGTTAAGCAAAAGTCTGCGAAGACCATTGTAGGCTGCCTGGACAATTTGCACAAAGCCGAGGCAGGAAATGGCCTATTGGATTACTTGACCGAAGAGAGTGGTTGGAATGTCAGT